CCCCAAAACCCCAAAACCCCAAAACCCCAAAACCCCGTAAATATTATATAAAATTGAATCAGAAATGTTGTCAAGAGTAAATGCCCAGGCTCATCTGTAGTTTAGGAGAGTGCCCAAGACAAATTATTTACCAATAAGAAACTTCTCTTCCAAGGAACCTCAAGTACGGTATCTATCTTAGCTCTAGCATGACTTTTCCACATGGTTTCATGAGCACAGAGAGCGGTCTGCAGAAGCAACAGGACTTGAGAAAGGGAATAATAATTACTTCTCAGGAATGATTATGGCTGGAATCAGTACTTTATTCGCCTTTTATACCATCTGTAAGTCTCTGTGCTGAACATCAAGACAATGAGTTCAAGCAGTATCGTAGATTTATCAATTTGAAAAGATATGGATTCTTCAAATCAGGATTCCTTGAACTGATTGATGACAAAGGTAACAAAATTCTACTCCTTAAAAGGTAATAATGCCTTATAGCCAGACCTCATGACCCCAAGTACCATTGGAATATTTAACCCCTCAGGTTCCCGATACACGAGCTCTTCCCTAAGAGAATGGTAGTCTACCTCGAAGTCAAAGAGAGAGTGAAGAAGAACAACGGAGACTGGGTCTGGGAACATAATAACAAACTAAGTCTCAAGCTAGTCCCATCCCTTGATATTGATATCTTCAATGAATTCAGGAACAGGGATGCTGATATCAGGTTTGACTCCGCATTTGTGGTTGATCCAGAGACGTTGATTAGCCATACCCAAGCTCCTATAATTTACGGTAAGAATTGTGAAGAATTCCCTGAGAACATCCAAGAGATGGTCAAAGAGTACTACAAAGGTAGGAAATACATTCATTTTAAACTTGGTTCAGACACAGGTAAAAACATAATCTTTGGAGACAACACCTCAGATGTAAGCAATAGCACTGAGTTTAGGCATTAGTTGGAGACATCATGATTAGATTAAATATCTGGGATGACGACTTATACACAGTATTTTGCCAGTCCCAAGATGGAAAATTAGTCCCATACAATGACTGTAAGACTTCTGTTGATGGTACTCTCATTATCTTATAGCTCAGAAGTTATTCTATCTGTCCAAGAACCCCAACCTCCTTTTTGAAGACATCAAACTTAAATATGATGTCATGTGGATCATGAGGAGATCTGAGGCGTGATTTCTATCCCTCCTTACTTATGGTATCTCACAGCTTTGTTTCTGGGGTCTTAACTTCAAGGAAATGGGCCTTTATAGACTCTCAATAAGATATGGCCCAACTCCTGTGACCTTCCTTGTTGGGTAATTTTTAGTATAATGTTCTAGTTTTTTGGCTTTCAGAGCATATTCTGATAGGTAAGCAAATTTATCATGCACATTTTTAATGATTGGTGAACAAAAATTTACATTCAAAGCACATAAGTACTTTTTATTCTGGTTTGAATTTTCTACACCTTTGAAACTAACCAAACTTAAAACAGCAATCTATACAGTCAAGGTGTCAAAAAGCTAGATGCACTCGGTAATAATTTAAAACTTATATGCAGGTTTGAGAGACAAGAACATGCCAGAGAGCTTAATAGCCCATGTCAGCAAATAATCCCAAATGTTCAATAAAGCCACAAATCCCGGGGTTTTGGGGTTTTGGGGTTTTGGGGTTTTGGGG